CATAGAAATGTACCAACTCAAAAAATCTTTCTCACACTCTCTCTCTATTGACAAGAACCAAGCTCACTAACCACAAGATATTGCTCTCGCTCGCCCGTTAATTAGAAAACATATTTTGAAAGCCGATAAAATTTTAAACGATGCCTAAAGCGCTCTCATTTTTTTTAGGATCGATGCCTAGTTTCCACTATTCAGTTCATTCATCACACTCTCGCGCTATCAGATTGAACCTTGGTATATTCCTCACTCTCGTATCGAAATAATAAACTAACAACATGAAAACTAGAACCAAAATATTCAATTTTTCATAAGTTCACACCTAAGATTTTCTAATGAGTCATGTCGGTTACGAAGGTCCTCATATGCCAGTCTCAAACAAAATTAGCCAGACATCATTTCATTTACACAAACATATTGAAACATATTAAACCTACTACTAACATGTTAATGATAATCAAAAGTAATGATAAATAAGAAAACATTAAAGAAATGATAACCTGGAAACTAAAAAGACTGAATAGAAATAAAAATGGTGGCAGACTTGTATTGATGATCCATGAGTACATTACAAGGAAAAAATAAACTGGTGTGACAATCCCTCGATGTGAGTTATGGTCACTTTTACAAGTAATTTATGCTTAAAAACTAAAAGGACAGGGCTCCTGGACGAACTTAGATACTGGAAACCGATTCAGGAGGCCTATTTATAGAGAAACATAACCTGGAGACTGTCTTGGGTCGACCTTGGAGGGAGGGAAAATTCAAACTCCAAAACTGCCAGTAACTACTCATTCAGAAATTAAATTTTGCTTCTGCGGCTGAATGGAGATTGTCATTGGGGCAATGGCGAACGTTATTGCTTCAACTCATTAATTACATGGCAGGGGGAATGGCGAACACCATCTCCTTATTGCGAATGCCATATCAGGAAGAGCTTCATAAATTTGGCTTTTTGCACGCTTTGCTGAGTTTCCACTCTTTCACCGATTTATTTCCAGATTCACAACTGATGATCCTAGTAGCTGCAAAACAAAGGAAAAAAGGTAAAATACAAATAAATAAGATAAAACACAGACAATTAACACGCACAATGAGCTTAAATATATGATACAATTTTTCGTTGTCATTTGTTGAATGTGTTGTTTGATTGATCAATTCATAGATAATTTTTATTTGATTGTTAACGTTTAAATTGATTTGTTGATTAGCTTATAATAACTTTGATTGTAAGTTCTTTTTCATATCAACTAAGCTCAAAGAAAATTCTGAAAAATTGATTGGGCACGACATGTTCGATAAAGTGTCGAGTTATGTTTTTAATATGATTTCATTGGAAATATGAAACCTTTGTGTTTGATATTAAACTATTAATTGAGATATCATTACGTTTATTTATTTTATCATTATCTTAATTCCATATGGCTTGTGCATATCTGAGTTTCCAATAACTAGGTTCGTTTAGACTACTATTTTGATCTAGGCTAATAAACCTTCCGCTCGAAATTGTTTTTCAAATAAGTTTTTAAGTAACCATTTTGAAATGTCAACTTTAATATGGGTATCTATTCAACCCCCCCCCCCCTCTAGATGAGTTATCGTAGTCTAACAAGTCTGTGTTTGATGTAACTTTTGGGTTGACTTTTTCTTGGAAGCTTCTTTTGAGGCTCTTGATATAATCTTGTTTGTTTACCTTTGTATGAACCTTTGTTGATGTTTGAGGGTTTTATCTACATCTTGAAACTTTGTCATTCCTTATCAAATCCATGAGTTGCATCTTTGACTGATTAAGTGTGTTTGTTGACTTTCTTTAAGATTGAATATTTATTATGTTGAATTTTATCTTTATGATCCTTTACAGTTGTCATTATATTGAGTATCTATTTTCTCTTTTATAGTCAAGACAAAAACTGATTGCATATTTAATATGCTAAAGAGTTGGCATCATCAAAACAACAACCTATTACCTGCAAAACATGGTTCCATATTTATTGTTTTAGTCATATACCTTTGGTGATTATGACAGCACCCTCGAGTCATTATTTAGGGGATCATTTTGATCGTACCACAAACTCATTGTTACATTTCATACTAGAAGGAAAATAGATAGTTTAGTGGACATTTATCTATTATTTGATGGAACATCATCATACATTATAATAGTGTGTTAATGCCTTTACATAACTACTGAATTGAAATTAACCAAGCGACATAGCCACTACTTGTTAACCATTGGGGATGTCATTACTGGCACAGATTTCACTTTTGTTGGCTACATGCACATATTCATCTTACCTATAGGAGCCGAATAGCCATGTATCGCAATTGTCTGACCATGGAAGCTACATTAATTTCCATAGTTTTTGCTTTATCTTCCTTTTGGTCTTGTTGTAGAGCCATGTAAAGCCTTTTCACCCCAGATAGGTTGACGTTTATCGTCATCGGTTCATCGTGGACGTTGTGGCATTTTAGCTTGAGGTCAACTAGGGATGCCACTTGCAAATAAGGTAGTTGTAAAGCGTCTTCCTATGATTCAACTGTAGATGCTTTTGCAAGGGACTATAAGAAATAGAGAATCGATTATCCTGGTATGTTGTCTCTCTCCCAAGATGATCATCAACTTGATGTACCCCAAGGATGAGTTATTCTGTCGTTGAAGGCCTATAGGTCGGATCCTTTATAGGGCCACACCATCTCTTTTTCCAACCATATTTTCTAAAAATGTGGATCTATGTGCTTGCACGTATAAAGCTAATGATCATGATATTGTTTACTATTCTAGTGTTTTTATGACAACAACACTAATGCATGTTAAATCTAGTGGTGATATCTCTCTAACTCCTTAGTGATGGTGATTAACTTAAAGATATTTCAAGCCTCGTCAATTAGAGGATTCAAGGTTCAAGTGAAGTGCTTATATAATTGGTGTATCTAGAAAATAAATTTGAAAGCTTCAGAGTTATGAAGTAGAGAAAGTGTAAAAGCTTGTATGGTCGTGTCTGTTTGAGTGATCAGAGTTTTATGAAAGTAACTCCTAAGATACTAAGGAAACTTTTACACACACACAAATTGTTTTTAAGGCCCCCTCTTTATTTAATAAAATAACCTAAAAAAAATTTAGGGTCTTGACAACTGATTAGGAGAGTGTCTTATTGATTGAGAAGTTTTTTCTAACTAAATAATCGATTAGACCTATTAATCTTATCGGTTATTTTTTCTTGGTTGATTTAAAATCGATTGTGACAATCTCTTAAGGAACAATATCGACTAAATATCAAAACCTTCCATTTGTGGCTTGAACAATTGTTTATTGGAGTTCAATAATCTATTATCCCATTAATTTGACCCATGAATTATTTCCTTTTTTAGCATCATTTTCTCCTATATAAAATAGGACTCTCCTTATTTGAAAATACACCAGAATTCAAAGTTTTCCTATTTATTACTATTTTATTACTCCCTTCTTCTCTCTTTAATATTATTCTTTCACCAAAGTTGTCTTAGTGACTTATGAGTGAAAACTAGTGAAGAAAGTGTTGTACAGAGTCGGGCCATTGGTTATTTCAAGAGTGTGATTCTCTTGATGGTTCATGTTTGATTCTTGAGATAAACTAGTGAAAATCTTTATTTGGTTTTAGAACTAAGCTAGTGAAAATTCTTATTGGTTATTGAGATTAGTCGGTAAAATCTCTACTCGACTCGTGAGCTCAGCCTAGATAAAAGATCTTGTTAGTTTGGGGAATAATCCAGCATAAAATCTCTCATTTCATTTGTATTAAAGATCTGTGGGCATAACCTGTAAAATCTGAAATTATTAGTGGAACTCTCAAGATGTTCTCTTGGTGAATGGGCATTAACCTGCGAAAGCTTAAGTTATTCGACTGATGGACATAACCTGTGAAAGCTTAAGTTATTCGATTGGATCTATATAAGTTTTGGTTCCATCTCTTTAACCCTGTCTTTTTAATTTCTGTCATTTACTTTATTGTTTTATCTTTTTTCATTGCTTTTCTATCTGTCTTTTCAATATTAACACAAATTGTTGTTTTAAGAAAACATTTTTTTTAAGTTATCACAATTATTAAATACCACAATTCCTCTTATTCTTGAAGTCAATTGTTTAATAAAAAATATTCGAGTAGATGATGTCACAGGAACTGCAGCCATCAATAAGCAAGATGTCAAAGTTAACAGTTATGGACACAATTACTAGAAGAAATATCTCTTTTGGGGTCCCCTCTATGGATTAAAACCCTTGCTCCAAGTGAAAAACTTGATAAATAATGGGTTGATACTTCAAGAATGAACCGATTGCACCATTTTAAGGTCTTTGACATGTGAAAACGATAGCTCATAAAATTCTTTACCAAGTAAAGTGATTCCCCACTTTCCAATTGGCTTCCAATGTTTCATATGTTTACCGCAAATTTCTTCCACCTTTAACTATTTAGTTTCTTTTGGCCATATCATATGACCATACAGATTGTTTTTGCATTGTAAGCATTGCTATTTGATCTCTCTTGATCATGTGTTTATGCAATTGGCACATTGGACTGTCACATAGCGAATTGTTTAAGGCTTGCACAAAAGACAACTTGATGATCACGTTATCACTATGTTGAGTATTATAAGCATGCAAATCTTTGGGTTGAAAATAACATTTAGGTGTTGTTGGACAAGACCAAAGAAGGGCATGATGCCCCATGGCAGGACAGAGGAGATCATACCCAAAAATGAGGTGCAGTGCGAACATAATATCTCTCGACGATCTGAATGATAAAATTGTAACTATAAAACAAATTTTGAAAAATAAAAATCAAAAGTGAATAAAAAGGAACTAGAGTGTTTTATTTTATTTCATTTTTATCTTGGATGAAATAGATGGATAAACAAAAGAGGTGTCTATGATTCATTCTCCTATTATATGCTAAGTAAAGACATGTTAGGTAAAAACAATATGAGAAACTAAACACTTTTACTAGTGTCTATACTACATTATCTTGTCACTTGTACTCTTCTCTTTTTGTGGCCGTTGCTGAAACAAAATAGGCAACAGTAAACAATCCGTGAACGAAACATAAAACCCCTCCAATAGATAAAAATCGATGATTTGATATCCCACACGATTCTCTTGATCTTGAGTTGGCTAATGTGCCTATGATCAGCATGGAGAAATCAACTCCTAATAGTATCCTGTAAACAACCAACACCAATTCAGCAAAAGTCCATCAAGTTTTAGAGCATGTTTGAATTGACTTATTAGAACTTATCTAGTGACATAAATTTTGTGACGTTGTTTAGAAGACTTACCATGAGAGAATGAGGAAAGCCATTGCTAATTGTCTATTGGATGTGGCTCTTTTGTACTCTTCTATAGACTTTGTGCAAATGCAACCACCAAGAAAGTGAGCAATTGCATGAGCCAAGGCCAAGAGAATGGAAGCACTAAGTCCTAGCTTGAAAGCTTGATAGCTTGGATCCCTACAAACAAGCACCCACATCTTCAAATCCTTCACCTGTTATCAATAATTGAATCCTTAATTCAGATAGTATGTATGATTTGTCTATGAGATGTCAAGTTCATGGTAAGAGTACCTTATTTTGAGCTATTTCTGCTTGAATTCCAAGTATGCCAGCAACAACATCCATCACAATGACAACAATGCAGACAAGGAAACCATAGTTTTTAACCATTTTTCTGAAATTCAAAGGTGTTGCAAAAAAAGATGTTAGCCACCTTGTTCTTTTAACTCCTCACTTTAATAGTTAAGCATCCTCTAATATAATAAAGACTGAGCCAGGTTTGTGATCCACTATTTTATATGGAAGTAATTAGCTTATTAGGCTTAAAGCTACTTTTATCTTTACATTTTCTACTTTATTCTTTGTTTGCATTTTCCCTTTCTAATATTCCTTCCATTAGGGAACACGGAAACAAGAGTTTCACCAGCAAGGAAAGCCAAAATTCGCAGGTATGTCCAGCACATGAGAGTGGAATGGATTCCTGTAGCTAAAAGATGGTAAATCAAGTTGAATATGTTTTCAAGCTTGTGAGAATAATGCAAGTGTTCTTAAATTATCAATTAAAGAATTAAAGAGGTAAATTTGTATTAACAAACGTTTTATATCCACAAATGTTTGTTTTATTATTTAAAACGGAACAAATATTTATCTTGTATTTTCAAAACAAAATAATTTTTGTTGATGATTAAATCCTGCCTCTAGAATTGTCTAATAAATATGTTTAATTTTTATGAAATTTTTATGAAAATCTAGTGTCATAAAAAAGTTTTACACTTTCATTACAATCAACTCCTTTATCCAATGTTTAGGTGGTCCAACGCTTAAGTAAGTGAGAAAATGAAAAATAGTGTGAAAGTGAGAATGAATTTGAATATTTGTGAATGACACATTTTCTTTCTTATATAGTGAGAACAATTAAAACCTTCTACGTGGAGTGTGGCGAGTTGTAGGGACAAACGTCTAATTGATCTGGAGGGTTGACAATGCTTTAGTGCGCAGAGTTGTCTACTTCAGGTGCGGACAAAGGAACACATACTCCTCCTATGGGTCTTTCGTCTTGGGTTTAGTGAGCGACCCAGAACAACTGCCCCAAAGCTCTTGTTCCTTCTTTACAAGACGGAGGTTTGTCGTATACACTTTAGCTGAGCTGTTTGGCCGGAGGAGGTGAAAAGGCCTTGATGAGACGTAAATATCGACGGTAACAGGACCATTAAATGTATTTATCGTAATAGATAATGTTCCGTAGGGAACAACTGACATGCGTCCATAGGATATGGGTAATAACGTTTCCTCTTCCTTTTGGTACTTGAGTACTTTAAATAATCTTCGATGAAATCCCAACCGTTGGTGATATGTAGCGGATCGTACGATCTTATATGATTGAGGTACATATAAAAGGTTCATGAAGCATCATTTTTCTCTTTTCTTTCATTCACGACCTGCAAGAGATCTTCTTCTTTGTCTTGTCAACTTAGTTATTTCTTGCGAACTCTTTTGCACCGCTTTTTTTGGTTAAGCTCATTTGTGATCTTTGTTCGATGGAGTTCGATACACATAGGCAACTGTGATGCGGTGGGAGAATTGACTTGAGGTTTTGCGTTTGTGTTTGCAAATGTTGCGGTTTAGCAAGAGTCGTCACCGACTTTTATTTTATCCAAAAGGAAAGGTAAAAAAGCACAGGAAAGACCTTTGAGATTGTTTTCTTGAGTTTGGGGGGTAGATTATGAAAAGGGAAGGTGCTAGCACCCCTTTCATTCATGATTTTCCATGGGCTCTTAGTTACTTGTTTAGATCATTTGCTTTGCTTTTGCAATTGTTTGAAATGGTGCTTTGTGTGGTTTTGAAAGTATTTTGAAAAGAGGCCTTTGATTAGGCAATCTTTGTAATGATTCTCGTTCGTAAGAATCTATACAAAGATGTTTGTCTTTTGAAAAATGTTTCAATGTTTGAAAGTTGTTTGGAAATTGTTTTGAAATGTGTGTGTTTGTTTTTGAAAATAGCAAGGATTGTTTTTGAAATGATCAAGTAACTAGAAGCATTCTACCTACTCAAAAGTCTTTCCTATACATTTTTATTCCTTTGACATTGTTAACCTACCATTGTTTTGGTAGATAACCCTATCTTTGGATGTTAAACGGGACGGACGTAGGTCATCGTATGACCATGATAGCAATGGTGTCAAGTATCTTAGCATGATTAAGGGACCAATATCATTTATTTTTAGGCAACCTTTTGATAGCGTCATCGAGGGACTATGATCTTTTTGTTTTGTTTGATTTTGCTAAGATACCTAACATGCATATCATGGTCATTTGTTTAGGCAACCAAGGGGGTGAAACCCTAGAGGTGCTTGTGTGGAATGTGTTGTCATTTTCATGCATTTTTGTCTTGAATTAGGTCATCTTATTTGTTTGATTTTGTCTTATCATACAAACCCTAATTTACTAAACATGTATATAATGCGATAAATTACGTAAAGTAAATCTAAGATATTACAACAATATTATGGGAGGGGGGATACAAGTTTTGAATGAGGGATATTGCTCAAAATAAAACCCTAATTCACTATTACAACCCAATTGAATTTATTATACAAATAAATAAATAAACAATTATTTAAGTATGCAATAATATGTAAATATGTAAAAAAATATTTTGTAATTATTTTATGTATGAGAAAATAAAATTATCTAAGTCCTAAAAATAAGAAAGAAAAAAAATATTATTATTTTTGAAAGGGGAAACCCTAATTTTGTTTTAAAAGAAAATATGTTTTCTATATTATTTATTTGATCTATTTATGTACAAGAAATAATAAATAATATTATTAATAAATATTAAAAATTAAAATATGTATAAAAATAATATTTTAAGTGTATGAATAATAAAAATAAAAATGAATAATATTCTTATTAAAAGTTTTAATGAATAAATAAGAAAATAAGCTCTATTTATTAAAATAAAATTATTTTATATGTAAAAATAAAAATAAAATAAAATTGTAAAAAATTAAGAAAATTGTTTTTGTGATTTTTAATGTTCAGAAAAATAAATGCAAGTCAAAAATATAAAATATGCAAGAAAATATGCAAAAATATAAAAATAATCAAAGGGGGTGCAGATAGGAAACAAGGGGGTGTGGAAAGTGGAAAAAACAAGGCCCAGGCGCGCCAGGCCCAGACAGGTCGTCCCTGTCCTCCAGCTCTTCTCAAACGCGCGTTTCTTTGCTTCAACCTGTAACTTGCTATTCTTTGCACAAAAACAAAATCTTGCAACATAAAACTTGTAGCATTTTTTATCACGATTCCAATGATATAAGATTTGAAACCTAACTCTAAGAAACCAGGGAGAATTTCAGTGGCCCTAATTCCTGACCTAATTTTTTCATGAACTTCAACAATCAAATACTCTTAGCTTAGTTAATATAAATGACAACTATGCATATGTACAACTTAAGCAAGTTAAGAAATATATTTTTGCTTCACAAATCAAAGCTTAAGAATGCCTAAATAAGGAGATAGAACTTTGAAAAATACCTTGTCATTTGAGTTTTGATATGGCAATGTGGGAACTTTGAGTGAGGCCTGAAGATCGTATGAGCTTCCTTGAAGTTCCCTCAACCTTTTCCAATGCTTAGCTGGCCTTGTAGATGCTTGAATCTCCTTGCACGAGTCAACCTGCAACCTTGCAAAATGAAAATTGTGAAGTGTGAAACTGAGCTCGCAGTTGCAAGATGAATGCTTGGATAGCTTGGATGTGGTGTAGGGAAGATGTTTCAAGGGTTGAAAGGCAAAACGCACGAGCCAATATTGAAATGGCTTGAGTTCTGCAGATGATGCCCAGTTTGGACAGAAAAATGTGGTTTTGGTGTTTGAGAGTGTTTGGGATGTTTGCAATTCGTGCTTAGGATTGTAACAAATTTCTGAAGTTGTTTCAAATGAAGCCAAGCCTTGCCTTTATCAGCTGGACAAGTTGTCTTGACTTTTGCAAGTTTGCTTGCTTTTGAAGAAAGTTGGAAGTGACAATGCCAAAGGCATGTACAGGCTAGTTCTAGGGCTGCAAGGATTTGGTATGCTTTGCCTGATGTTTGTGGATCTTGCTTGCAACAAAATATCAGGTCCATGGCTCAAGATTTGCAAAGTTGCAAAAAGTATGCTTTATCAAAATGGTATTGTGAACTTTATGCCATTTTTGGATTAATTCATTGTACAATGCTTCAAAGATCAAAATAAAACCATTATCCATTGTGTTAGCATTCAATTATGGAGTGTAGAAGGGATTAGGACCTGTAATACCAAGTACAAGCATGCTAGGACAGATTTGCAACTTGAACCATTGTGAAAATGCCTTGAACAAAGTGATAAATTGCCATTTTCTCTTCTTCGATTCTCCCTAACCATAAATGATCTTGGAGAGTTCTTGGAAATTTTGGAAAGCTTGTAACATGCTATAAAATCCATATTTGAAATTAATTTTGAGATACCTCTTGGAACTAGGTGAAAAGTTGCCATGAAGTTAGGTCAAAAACCTACCTAAACTAGGGCAAAATTTCACTAAGTTAAAAAGTTTATGGACCCCTATTCACAAAATCATAACTTGCGATCCAAGCATCTTTTGGGAAAACTTTGTGAATCAAAGTTGTATATTTCATTGAGGACTACAACTTTCATGTTGGAAGTTTTCTTTGAATCCAATTGCATCATGGTGAAAAAGTTGTGGAAAGTTGGGAAAAAATAAGAAATTTCCATAACTTAGAAAAATTCTAAGTTATGAAAAATTTCAAATTAAAACCCAAATTTGCATTTTTAGGTTTCTTGATCAACAAGTTTCACATTTTGACATATCTTGATGAATTATGAGCCTTGGCACTTGATTTTGACGTAAAAGTCAAAGTTTGACTTTTCAGTGTACAATTGATTTTTGATCAGTTGACTGAAAAATTCATCTGTCAATCCTATGCATTTGAGATCTTTTGAACTATGTGATTAGGTCAAGATTATGCTATTGAGTCCTTGAAATGATGCTTGAACCCAATTGGTCATTGGCTAGGTTAAAAATCAGAAATTGCCCTTTTCTCAGTCAAAACCCTAATTTTGACCATTTTGCCCTTTTGATGATCTGATCAAATTTCTTGAGGAGTTGTGGTCCAAACTTGATTAAATGGTACATAG